TATAGGGAGCTTTAGCAACGACGACGGCGACGGCAACGAAAACGTCGTGTCGAAATCTAACTTTTCGTTTTTGTAACTCTTTCGAGGTTATTCCGATGTGTTTCACTTGGAAAATGCTGGCGAACTATTCAGAGACTATATCACTACCAACGGCGTTAAAGTAAGGAGAAAGAAAGCAAAATTAACCGTTATGCGCTCACGTTCTCGAGAAAACCTAAAGTTTGGTTGTTTTACGTTGTTGTTTTGCCGAGAACGGCAAAGAAATGTACCAAAATGTCAAACGCACGTGCAGGGCGATTGTTTTTGATCATTAAGCCTATTGTTTTCTGCCGTTGTCGTTGCCGTCGCCGTCGTCGTTGTCGTTGCAAAAGCTCCCTATTATGTTTCCCCGCTCAAAAAATATTTCTCAACCTCCCCTGTAATAAATCATAACTGGTCTGGCCCCTTACGATTTATATTATCCGTACAGAGAATGGACGGAGACATTTCCAAACGACTTCAAGGATGAAGTGATGATGATGCATATTAAGGACATCACCAGTTACTGTGCATCACTGACAGTGGTAGGTCACCGTTTGTTCTTCAAGTTTACCCTCAATCTGCAAACGTGTCGCTTCCATTTTTCCTCCTTTACTTGTATTAAAACAAAACAGAACACAACCAATGAAGAGAAGGGTAACTGAAAGAAAAGTAAAAGGTGTGTAAAATGCAAAAGATAAAACAATGCATTTAGAGTCCTATTTTGTCTTCAAGAAAATTGTTTTTCGAAATTTCAGTAAAACAGAAATAAAATTTATGCCACAGAGCCTCGATATAACGAACCGTTTTCCCCAGTCCCTTGGCACTTCGTTAAATCGAGGTTCCACTGTATTTATGTTCATGTAACTATTTTGGTTCCTTTTCTCTCAAGGAATTAAGAACCATGGTTGGACAGATGACTCAGTCCCTATTTCAGAAGGTGCGCCAAAACATTCTAAAAACTCTTTCGCACAAGGTGGACTGACATCAAACAGCGTTAATCCTTTACAATGTTACTCCAATGAGTGACCAAGATAGAATTTCTCCATACAATATCAATACTTTCTTAAGCCAACTAATAATAAGAACAAAGAAATATAGATCAATAGGAGGATTATTAATATATCGAATACCAAATTCTCCGAACTGACGTCGTAGGAATTGTATGGCGGACGGTAAAGAGAAATGCTAATGAGATCTTGGAGTGAAAACGTTATCGTTGCAAGAAATATATTACCTTTTCTCTTCCGCAGTGTAACTCATGTCTGCTAAGCAGCGAGTGATTGCCGTAGAAACTTGACTTTTGATTTAATTTGGCCAAGGAGATACACGTTTGCGGAAGTTAACTCTTTTCTCGAAAAGCTCGAGCCTTGTGCTTTATTACATTAGGTGAAATTATACAGAGAGTTAACGAATCTGATACCTTTTTTTCTTTACTCGGATCAAAAACAATATTGTAGTTTGTAAGACTGAACCTGGTCGGAGATTTGTAAAATCCTGCGTTCGTTAAGTTTCATCTGTAAATCCAAAACTCGGTTTTATCATCTGTTACTTTTGCAGCTTGCGTTGTTGAATAAATATGAAGAGATTCTGTTAAAGGCAACAGCGGCCGCTGAAGATAGAAAGCTGAAAGGATCCACCAAGCACAAAGTATGTTGGCAATTTTTTTTCTTGATCATCTGCGATTAAAATTGAGTGATTTTTGATGAGAAAAAGTGACCTATTTGAGCCCTGGACCCCAAAGAGTGACGAGCATCTAATTTCTCCTTACAATATCATCGCCGAATCAAACATTAAGGTCAGGAGAATAAAGGAAATGATCACCAAGAAAAGAAGCTCTTGATTGTTAAACAAATTCACCTAGTCAGCACCTCAGAAAAAGTAAAGAGAGCAGTATGGTCGTAAGAGGGTTAATCAAAACACGCATCAGTGGTGAATAGGTAACTGGCTTGATACGTCGTTTTCTTTCGCAGAGCGTTCTCGAGGTCTGTTCTCCTCCAGTAATAATGGCTCAACAGCTGTGTCACATTGAGTTGGTAATTATTACTAAATCACGCTTTTTTTGCCTTCGAGAATTGTATTATACTGGGCAACCTACTGTAATGTATCAACAAACTGTTACCTTCTATCGTAGGAAAGACTGGCTAACATTGGACCAGAGGAGTTTGTGCAAACTTTTATTCCAAGAGATGAAGCGGACTTGAGAGTAAGTTGGGAAGCCATTTTTATTCTCTTTTTATTGTGTGAACAATACTCCGCTCCGACGAAGGGCTAACGCTCGAAACGTCAGCTTTTGTAATCGTTACGGTGGCCAATTTACCATTTCAACTTTGTTGATATATCCAAATTATTTCGTTACTCCCACCGACGCAGCCCAAAACAGTTTCTTTCGAAACTATCAGCCTTTATTCAAGATTACCTTTATATTTACCTTTATATTTTCTTCGTTTTTGTTTCGTTTTGTTTTGTTTTGTTTTATTTTCTTATTTCAGATCTTCATTTGCCCCTCCGTTCATGCATTCTTTCACCTGTTTATAAGATTCTTACATTTTTCCCTCTTTCAGTCAACTCTTAGCTATATCAAAAGGACAAGCAACTTAGAAGCTTACATCGAATGGTTCAATCGACTCGGTTATTTAGTGGCAACCGAAGTCTGTTTAGTAAGTTTAATACGGTCCGAGTATCCGAACTGCTTCAATTGTAATGGTATTGCTGCTCTATTAACAAATCGTTTCCATGTTGCTGTGCGTTTGTTCATCACAGATGATGTAAAAATGTGGTAAGAACATAAAAGTGGCACACGAGGCGCTGCCGAGTATGTATGTTGCTAACAAAATAGCGTGCCGGTTGAGGAAGTCATTCAGCCGGCTGTGTCCAGTCGTTTGCAACATCTTGTCTGCGGTGTTACCAAGATTTGAGATCCGAAACAGAGAGAGACACTATAGGCTAGTTAAGACCAGTGAATTCAAAGCAATACTTCATTTCACTTTTGATAATGCTGTGGCTTAGATGTAGTTCGGTATTTATAGTCGCCTTTTTGTTTTCGAACGGCAAGCTGTTTTTCTTTTTTTGTTGTTTTTCACTTAAACTGTAAAAAAAACGCGTCTGTGGAGCAATTACCAGCGAAAATTCAACCGGCGATTGCCTCTTTCTCAGCTAGTGAATTTCGCAGGCTGCCGGCGCATAGCGACAAGTCTCAACCCTTCCGTGTTCTGTGATCTGACTGTTCACACCTTATCCATTTGTTTTATATAATAACAAAAAGAAAAATGTTGTTAATGGTGAAGTCATCTATGCGTCTTTCTTCCAATAGATCATAAGTAGGAACCAGTCAAATTGCTTATATAATTCAGTTTACCAGTATCATATAAAGTAACTTTGATTACATTGTTTAGGGGAATAAAAAGAAAGTCAGGGCCAAGATCATTGAATATTTTGTTGATGTGGCCACCGAGTGTTATGACAAAGGAAACTTCAATTCTGCCATGGCTATTATTGGTGAGGACATTATTCTGTTGGTGTAGTATATTTCTGCCTGTATTTACCACGGGATGCAATTATGGCTCCAAGTTTTTTTATTGTTTTCCTACCTGCGTGATTAACTAAAAATGCAATGATGATATAACAATGAAGATGTTTGAAAGGCTCATTCAATCCACCGATTAGTGCAATGTTCAAAACTAACTTATGTATTTTCCTTCATTCTCAGCCGGATTGAACATGAGTCCTGTGACAAGATTAAAAAAGACGGTAAGATTTTCGAATCCTCAGCTTTACATTGTCGGTTTCGACTAAACACAGCTAGTAATTCCGGATCATTTTCGAGTTTCTTGTGATCGCATTTGTATCGTGCACAAGTAAGGTTGTGGTAGAAAACGCAGGGCTGTAAAGTTATCATTATCATTAACCGTTTGATCCTTGAGCGTGACTAGCATCTAATTTCTCCTTACATACCACCCCTAAATCACACATGAAGGTGAAGAGAATAATGGAAATGATCACGAACTGAATGAGCTCTTGATTATTAAGCAAATTCTCCTTGTCAGCGCCCCAGGAAATGTATAGAGAACAGTATGGAGAATATGCATACTGGTGTGAGGGTGTAAAAGGGAAATTAACGTAACTTTTGTTCATTTGTAGTGGTCCAGAGTAAAGTGTAGAAAGTTTGACAGACTTGAACGCGAGATGAATCCGGCATCGAACTTTGCTTGTTATCGAGCGATGTTCAAAATGGCTGTTGAGAGCAGCGGGGGTAGGGTGAGTAGCATTTTGTCTTTGTTACGGAGAAATAACAATGTTTTACCTCGACAATAAATCTGAGAAATTGTTCCTGATTGTAATTTTTCTTTTCAGTTTGAATACTCCGTTCCTTTCTTCAGCCTGTTTGTGAAAGATGTTTATTTTCTTAACGAGGGCCACTCAAACAGGTTTGAAAAAAGTTTCTTTAACGTACAAAATTCATGCTTTTTGCCCACGTGATTTTCAGCGTTATCTACAGTATATGTAATCACTGATGACAAATTGTTAATTGTGCTTTTCTATCCATATTCCTTTGCAGACTTCCAAATGGACACATAAATTTCGAGGTAGAGACGCCATTTGTATCCATTTCTCGCTTACCATCAATCAACCTAATTTATTAAAAGAGTCGCTCAGATTATACAGGTGCTTTTGCTTTCACTCTAAAGTACAAAGGTTCGAAGGCAGTTGGCAGGCAGATCAACTTTAGCGTTTTCAAGTCAAAAGCAAAAACTGTTTAACCTCTTTATTGTCGTCACCTCTGTAGTTTACTACTCTACCAGTCCTGCTCGTGGTTTTTACGGTTGTAAGGTTTTTCCATATTCAATTTTGCTTTCTGGTTTTGCAGAAATTCTGGCAGCTATCAAAACTGATAACAAATTTTGTAACATGGAAGGAAGCAGCTGTAAGTTCCTCACTTTTCTCTTGTGATTCTTCTGTGAATTCCTCTCCATGTCTCACTTTTTGCTTTTCTTCTGTTTGTTTCTTTTTTCTTCCGTCTCCTCGATTCATTCATTGTCAGAGATAAGACTCATTTGAAAAAAATAATCATTAAAAGAAGCTGTATGGACGATAAAATCAGTTTATTTGCAGCACTCACTGTTTTCTCGTATATTCTGCTCTCTCCTTAGTGTAAATATGACCGCAACAGGGCTGTGTTGAATTACCTGATGACTGTCCCAGTGTTGTCTGAAAAGAGTAAGTTTCAAAGAAGTGTACCTGGTTTTTAGCTGGCCTTGCTTGGCGAATTCGCTTCGGAGGTGGATGCTGGATATGAAATTGATTTCCTATTTTTATGACGTCTTACTAGACGTCAGTGAATTTGATTCACTAGGGACCTTAAGCAACCACGACGGCGACGGCGACGAGGACGTGGAAAAACAAGAAATCTAATTGGCAGAACAATAGCTCAGCACGTGCGTTTTGAAACTTTGTACATTTCTTAGCCGTCCTATGCAAAACAACAACGTGAAATCGCCAAAATTTGCGTCGTCTGCGAACCGAAAACGCGACGGCAAATTATTTTAATTTTCATTTGGAACTCAACGCTACTTTTATGCGTCATGCTGCAGTTGAGCTGTGGCGCCATATGAGACAGTAAGCTCCTGCAGCCATGTTTGAAATTCTAACTAAGAGTAGAAATTAATTTTTTAATCGGAGTCTTCCTTGGCGTTGCCGTCCTGACTACTTAAGGTCCCTAGTACTATCTTTCGTGTTCTCTTTGCCCTATAACTCCCAAGATCTGGTTTTCAATTCTCCCAACGAGCTGCTACACATTTCTATGTTAATTAGTAACAAGAGTTCGTTGTTAGATCAAAGTAACAACTTCCACCTTTAAAGTTTGAGTATTCTCATTATCTGTTTGCTGGATAATGTATGGATGTTGTAGGGAGAAGTTGCATGTTAATCACCTATACATGTAGGGTTAATTGAATGAGGCCATTAAACACCTTATCCATTTGTTT